AGAGTTACATTCTTCTATATTTTGATATTTCTAGGTCCTTTTCAGAGTAATATACACTATGAATTCCTCCCCAACCACATCAAGGCAGTATTCTGCACAATAGTTGCTACTATTCCAGAAGTTATAGTTTTTACTTTTATTTTTATTTTACTGAAGTCAGCAGTTTCTGAAAAGTAACCTAAAGCTCTTTTTAAAAAATCCATCTTTAATAGTCTACTTTTTAACCCTTTAGGGGGTGAAGGAGAGAAATATGAGGCCATATCTGAACATAAAACAATAATATCATAGATAATAAAAAAGAAATGTTGAGCCGAAACTGGTTTGGCTCAGTGGATAGCCAGTCAGCATGTAGACTGAAAGGTTTTAGGTTCGATTCTGGTCAAGGGCATGTACTTGGTTGCAGGCACATCCCCAATAGGGGGTGTGCAGGAGGCAGCTGATCAATGATACTCTCTCATCGATGTTTCTAACTCTCTGTCCCTCTCCCTTCCTCTCTGTAAAAAAAATCAAGAAAATTTATATTAAAAAAAAAGAATTGTTGATTTGTCCTTGTTTTCTGTCAGGAAATGGCAAATTTATAGCTTTTGTAGTGAGGACATGCTTTCTGAATATAGACTGTATGGCTTTTTGCATATTGTCATGTCACAGAATCTTTGACTCAGAATTTGGAAGGGCTAGTTCCTCTAGTTTTACAATACATTTACCACCCAACTGACAATCAGCTGGTCACAATCTCTGAGAGAAGCACAGAATCTGTTTCAAATGCCTCCAGAGATAAGAACACTCCAATTTCACAAGTTGAATCTCTACTGAGTTGCCTAGATAACCAGAAAGTTCTACCTTATATTGATCCAAATCTGTTTACTTGTGGCTAATGTACATCTTCCCTGTCACATTTATGAAACTATCCAGAATAATTCAACTTATAAACTATAGTCCTCCAACTATTAAGGCAGTTCAGAAGGGACATGCTGAATTTTTATTCCAGAACCTCTTAGAAATATATAACCTGGAGAAACCTTCCCAAACTATGTCTTAAATAAATTCGGTCTTTAAAAAGAAGCACATGTTAGATTACAATCAAATTTACTCTTTAAATGAAGGCTAACTCACTTAACTTATATATAATTTAAATGCCACTGTATCGTGTGTGTGTGTGTGTGTGTGTGTGTGTGTGTGTGTGTGTGTGTGTTTTACCATGGATTTTTATTAAATTTGTGCACAGATAGATCCTTTACATAGCAACTTAGTCTGCTGTGAGACAATCTTCACAATTAGTGTCACTGGGGGTATAATGGAGAGTGAAGAGAACAGGGAATGATAGATTTATTACTATATCTTATTCCATCTAACATGCCATTGGTTAAAAGATACACCTTATTTTATGGAGTGCTATGGATCAATGACTTGGTATTCATTAGTTTGAGATATAATGTAGCTATATGGAAGCTTAATCAGATAATTCCTTCTCTTTCTACCCTGGTCAAAGGGTAGGGATGGCTAATGATTGTAACAGGACCACATGAGGGCCTCTCCTCTCTATATTTGTGTTATTTATGCCAAAAACTTAAAGTCAATCTTGAGAGTGACTAGAGACATAGCCTAAGGGACAACATAAATATGCTCCATATTTTTTTAAAAAGTTGCATTATTTGAAGAGTAACTAAACAATTTTACAATTTCTTTATATTAACATGTTCTATACTCCTGGCATGTAGACAATAATGTGTACATTTAATAGAATGAATTCTATTTTTAGATATTATGCAAAGTAATGATGGCAGGATGAAAACAGACTGAGAACTTTGGGGTGGAGTACATAATCTGGAAACATAAAACTGGTCAAAAGGAGAAGCAAAGACATTCCGACCATTGATTTGCTTCACTAATGCTAGTCAATGACTTCCTCAGTGTGTTTAACTTATGAAGTTCAAAGAACAAGTTGACAATACCACAGGAAGGAGAATATAATAAAAACTAGACGGAAGAAGAAGAATGTGTAAGTGGAAGGACTTGCCAGTGATAGTAGCAGAAACCAATATTTTCAAATATTCTGCTGTTATTGGTTTTACACAACCTATTGATAAATAGTGTCATGCTTTAAAAACTTAGGCTTAGATTAGTTTAGCATGTACTCCATTGCCAAATCAATGCTGACAGTCTGGAGAGGGAATTTCACTACAGAAAAGTCCTTAGAGAAAATATAAATGGAATTTTATTTTTAAATAAAAAAGACTATAACTGAGAGCTACATGCTGCAATAGTTTAGTAACCCTTCACTGTATTAAGTAAATCAGGTCCTCTTAAAACTTTCTTGAGTCTTTATAAGAGAAGATTGTTTTACTAAACTTGTTTATTGACTTGAACATAGTCTATTATCCAGCAGTTAGGAATCATGACTTGAATTTGCTTAACTACCTTTACAAAATCACATACTCTCTTTTGAAATCCCTTGAAATGCAGAATGTTGACCTGGCTCAAAAGAAGCAATAAAATTATTTTAAAGGCTCACCTGATATATAAATGAAGAAACTCAAGCCCTGGGCAGAATCAGAAGTTTCATGTCCATTACAATGGGGAAGTGATCACTCCTACTCTTGTTTTTCCTTTTTCTCCCCTCATTTTTTTACCTTTAAATTTTATGAAGAACCATACAGCTTGCATTTTCTCTTAACACTTAGGGGGAAAACAAAACAAAACACATATTCATCATCTTTTCTCTTGGCTACTGATAAGAAACTCTGTAGATACCAAGACAAAACCAGAAATTATTGGCAGAGAATAAAAATAAAGATTTTTTTTTTTTTGCGCAACCACTGTGAATTTTGGGTAACAAAGGTGAGGAAAGCCATCACCAGCAATCCTAGTCTGCAGCACCTATCCAGTTATTTATTAAGAATTAAACTTGAAATTTGCTTCTAATGTTACCTTTGACACAAGCCTATATGTCTGTACATAACTGTCTCTGGAGATTAATAAATTATCCTTGTCTTTCACTTTCCAGATTTCTGGCAAGTGTCTTTCATTAGCTAATATCAATTTGCAACCAGCTGGAGAAGGGGATTCTGGGAAATCTATTTTCTAGCTTCTCTCAGTGATGCAGAAGTATCTTAGATGGGTCTGGTGATAAGACTAAGTTGACAAGAGAGAATCCAGCCCCTAACCATTCCTTGAGGTAGTGATACTAAATCTGATGTCCAAAGATTTTAAGGAAAAAAAAAAAGGCTCCATACGTAGGTAGGGAATGGAAGTGATATCTAAATATTGCATACATCTTGAAACCGGTTTGGCTCAGTGGATAGAGTGTCAGCCTGCGGACTGAAAGGTCCCAGGTTCAATTCCGGTCAAGGGCATGTGCCTTGGTTGCAGGCACATCCTCAGTAGAGGTGTGCAAGAGGCAGCTGATCGATGATTCTCTCTTATCGACGTTTCTAACTCTCTATCCTTCTCTCTTCCTCTCTAAAAAATCAATAAAATATATTTTAAATAAATAAATAAATATTAAATAAATAAATAAATATTGCATACATGTAAGTTTTTGAGAATTAAACCAGGAAAAGATTGAGTTGGGCATTCCTGTCATACTGTATAGGTATCAACAATTTGTTCTTCACAAGGGGCTGGCAGTTCTATTTTTCATTACATAGTTAAACTTTTTTCCTAAAACTTACAAGCTTTGGTAAGCTTGGCATCCTGTTTTCTGATCATGCAGTTTGTTAAATCATTTCTTCCTCAGTTTCTGGAGATAATGTGCAGTAATATTTGACCTTCTCTTACCAATTGCATAGAAAATATTTCTAATATTATTTCCATCATACTGCTTTGGTACTCCTTGGACAATAATGGAATTAATATTCTTTGTAAAAACCTCTAAAAAAATATGGCAAAATGCAATAATACTCTAGAGAGAGTAAAGAACTTAATTGACTAGTGTGCTTAGTGGTGGTGGGCAGATTGCACAGGTTTTAAAACTTGATAAGGTCAAAGTTCATGAAAAAGGAATATATATATATATATATATATATATATATATATATATATATATATTCATTTCAAGCAAAATAAAGGTCAGTTGTGTGGCAGGGAATAAGTGTCAAAAATTATGTTTACAAGATTTATTAAATGCCCAAAACAAGCTGGCCAGGTAAGTATTATTCCCATTATGTACTTGTTAGAGTTGAGGGCCAGCGAGGATAAATAATTAACCCCAAGTTTCACAATTTATAAAAGGCAGAGTGGAATTTAAACCTCTGATTCAAAACTGTGTGTTTTTCTTACTCCATCTCTCTGCCTCTACAAATGCGTTTTTCCGTGCACAAAGGCCTTGCTGTTCTGCAGGAGGAGAGTGCAGCTTTCTTTTCTATCTTGCTCTTAGCTTTGCAGGCCCCTCTACTGAATCTCAATGTGGAAGGGAAAGAAATTTAAAGAAATATAAAGCTTCAAATATAAAGCGCCTACCTTTCTTCTCACAATGATGATGAACAAAAGTTGCAAATGATATTGCATCTTGCCTGACCAGTTGTGCTCAGTGATTGAGCACTGACCTATGAACCAGGAGGACACAGTTCCATTCCTGGTCAGGGCATATGCCTGGGTTGTAGACTTGATCCCCTGTGTAGAGCATATAGGAGGCAGCCAAACAATGATTCTCTTTCATCTTTGATGTTTCTATCTCTCTCTCCTCCTTCTTCCCTGAAATCAATAAAATATATATTTTTTAAAAAATAAATTATATCTTACTTTACTGTAGAGGACTTTTTTTTTTTTCCAGTCCCCCAAGGATCTATTCTTTCTTCCTACCAGTGCATTGATTTCTTTTCAGAAGATTCCCACTGTCTTTCTGTGTGTATTCCTAGTGGAATGTTAAAACCTGGTGATTGCTTCCTATGGAAGTGGCAGATATATAAGTTCCCCACCCTAATTCATGGAGGGTATAGATATAGTGCTTTTAATTTTGAGTAAGGAATGGAAGTCACTCAGGCAATTTGGCTGTCCTATATAATAAAAGCCTAATATGCTAAGTGTCTGGTTGTCCAGTCATCTGTTCAACCAATCAAAGCATAATATGCTAATGATATGCTAAGGTCACTCAACCACTCGCTATGATATTCACTGACCACCAGAGGGCAGAAGCTCTGACTGGAAGGTTAGCTTATTGCTGGGTTCCAGGTGATCTGGACTAAGTGAGATGGGCTGGACATGCCCTGGAGCCCTCCCGAGGTCTCTTCTCAGTTGGCCAAGCTCCCGTATCCCTCCCTGTCCCCAATCATGAACCAGTGGGGTCCCTTGGCTTGGCCTGTACCCTCTCGCAATCTGGGACACCTTCGAGGATGTTGGAGAGCCAGATTCAGCCCAGTCTCACAGACCAAGCTGAGGGACCCCAATGGTGCATGAATTTGTGCACTGAGCCTCTAGTTATGTGATGAAAAGGCCAACTATTTCCCTCTGTAAAAATGACTTCTGCAGTCTCTATTTCATTGTTGGTTTAGTTTCTATCAACTTCCAAATAACAAACTTCCCTTAAATTCTACAATATAAATATAAATTGCTACAACACTTACTTTTCTTATTGAAGTTAGACACATTCAGTTTCTAGGTTTGCAATTAAAGAATTCAAGCATAATACCTGTAATTATTAATCCCTTCACCTTCCTTAACTCATTTGAAATGTAAATAGCAAATACTAAAATAAAAATAAACTAGAAAACTGGAAAAAATCACTTTCTTAATGTATAATGTGTATAACAATTAGTAATGCTTTCATTTGCAATTAGACGAAATAATTTCGATTGTATTTAAAAATTTTGAAAGAAAGTAAAAGAAAAAAGTGGGGATAACAAAGAAAAAATGGAGATGTGAATAATTATGGCACAACATTTATAATGTACACTAATAAAAGTGTACACTAATAAAAGTGTGCCTCCACTTTGATTAAGAGCTCTCTAGAAGTCTTAGAAAGAAGAAAATATTGTCAGTTGCATATGTTTGAAGATTCCTGAGAGAAAAACGAATCACTTGCTAAGAAGGACAATTTCTCCTCATACGAGGCCCAGAGAGAAAAATTCCATTCTTATGTTTTTATGTGGGAACTGTACCAAATGCAATAGTGTTTGCAAAAACACCTCGAGAGGAAACACTGAATTGTGATTCACAGACTGTTTTTAGTGCTGTTCCTTGTGGTATGTCAATAGTATCAGACCAGAGAGAAATGCACCAGAGGTGGTTCTGTGGGGGACACACATATGACCCGGGTGTGTAACTCTCTGCCCTGCCATGCTGCTGTTTTATCCACGACAGATCTTACGATGTTTAGAGGGATGGGTAAGCTATTGACATTCAGGAACTCCTCCAAAACTATTGTTCTCCTAACGTATCACTGAGAATGGAGTTTAAAGTTGCATGCTCAGCAGTTATTTGCTGGGCAGTGGTTATACGTCGGCAGTAGAGCAGATGGTTAATCTGGCCATTGTTAAATTGCAAGACAGAAGTATAAACAGAAACCGTTTTTCTGTTTGGAGAAAAGGAGATGCATTCATGAAGGAGAGACAAGATTATCCTTATGCAAGAATTAGGCAATTTAAATGAAGGACTAGCCCAGCCAGTGTGGCTCAGTGTCAACCTATGAACCTGGGCCGGCCAGCCTGAGGACCTGGCCCTCCAGTGCATGAATTTTCATGGACCGGGCCTCAAGTGTTTATATATTTCTTCACAGTTCAAAAAAATCCCCCTTTCAAAACAGACAAACCAACAAGCCCCTAGACCTAGATGAATTCACTGGTACAGTCTATAAAATATTTAAGAAAAAAACATAATATTATTCTATCACAAACTCAGAGTAAAATAGGAAGGGATATATCTTTCAGCTTCTTTTATATGCCCAGTAGTTTACTGATACCAAGATCTGGCAGAGATATCTCATGTAAAGAAAATTACAGGACCAAGTGCCATATGAACATAGATACGAACTAACAAAATACTAACAATTAGAATTAATGGTACATTAAAGGCATAAAGTGTTATGACCAAGTAGGTTTTAATTCAGAATCATCACTTGATTTAATGTTAGAAAAACAATGTAATGTTTCTGGAGACATAATAAAAAGAAGAAAACTATTGATTTTTTAGATGTATAAAATTTATTAATAAAATTTATCAGTTTTCATAAGAAATGTCTCTCCTCAAGCAAGAAATAAAAGGAAACGTTTTCAATCTGATAAAAGAATATTCACAGAAAGCCTACAGGTAATATCTGACTTGATTATGAAACTCTGAACACCTTTTCCCTAAGGTGAGGGAAAAAGAAAGATGTACATGATCACCGTTTTATTTCACATTGTATTAGGCCTGACTCAGGGAATAATGTGAAAGAAAGAAAAAAGGGACAGAGTTACCAAAACAGAGAAAGAGGGTCTGAGAGGGACAGAGAGAACCCTGAAGTGAAACTAAGAATTATAACTGTCATTGTACACAGACAGAAAATACAAGGAAATATACAAATTACAAGAGCTAGTTCATAAATTTAGCAAGACCTCAGGATACATAGTCAATTGCGTTTCTATTAATTAGCAACAAACAACAGGACATGAAATTTTTAAATGGCATTTACAATTTCATCAAAAACATAGAACATCTAAGAATAATACTAATAACCTACATGCATTTTTCCTGAAAACTACACATTTTAAAGATTCAGATATCTAAATGGAAAGATATGTCATGTGTATAGATTGAAACGCACTAAACTTCTATTTGTACATTTTATCTAAATAGAGTTGATGCAATCACAATAAAAATTCCTGCAAAATTTTTATGGATATTTTTGGACAATTTTAATAATTCTATGAAAATGTAAATGACATGCAGAGGCAAGACCAACCTAAAAGCTACCGTAGCATAAACAGTGTCCTATCTGAATTAGAATAGGTAAAAATTTAAAAGGAGAAGAAAGTCCAGAAATAAGCCACATATATACAGCCTCTTGATTTATAACAAAAAGCACCAATGCAATTCAATTAAAATAAATATTATAAATTTAATTAATGATAAGGTGAAAACATGATAAAATTTGGGAATAGCAAAACATTTCTCATCTTAAATGCACACTCATCTGCACTATCTGTTAAATTCAACCAAATATGACCATACCTGTAAATCAGTTGGCTAGTTATATATGTATTGTTTCTAATCCTTAAGTCCATCTTTCTATACTCTTTTCTTAGCCAGTAGTTAGAGTCTTCAAAATACATTCACTAGACTGTCTTGATATCTGCTTTTTTGTTAGGTTCTACCAGGAAGTACTCACAGGAGACTAGATCTCTGGGTAAAGGGCAAAGGAACTCTATTTCTGTTTCCACATCCTGTCAGCTTCTCTCTGGCTATGGCTTCAGCTTCCAGCTTCTCTTGACATAAGGGATAGCTGCTGTTGCCCTCCTCAGAGGGTCCAACCCAGAATTCTGGTAACTCCATCTCTTTCCTCCCAACCACAGGAGTAGTAGCTGCTTCCTGCAGTTAATAATATTGAGGTTACTCAGCATCCCTTTTTATTTTTTTCAGTTTCAAATCAATGTCTTGTATCAACTCACACTATTTTATAAATACCTGTTGTTTTTCACTTTTCTGGCTGGGACTTGAATCATACAAAGCCTATAATGCACAAGAAATGTTTATCTTGAGGCAACTACATAAAAGTTTAAGATATTCTTTTTGGGTTTAAATTTAGTTTTTAAAAAATTTAAACCCACCTTAACTTTCTCAGCAACTAATCTAACCAGTCAACTAATTAGTACTAATGTATTTCAGGTCAGTTAATGCAAGAATAAAAATAAGTAGAAGTGATTGTTTTCTACAATATTTAACATATCATTTTTAGAGAGAGGGATAAACATCAATTGGACTAATTATAATTTAATTTGTGATATAATAAAAAACTGCAACGTAGATTCTGCAGATTTTTCATACTTGCTACAATTTCTCACCACTGGTTTCTGTTTACAGGCTATTTTGGCAACATATTTCTCATTTAGGTTATGACAATTGTTCTTATGGCCAATAGCAAGTTAATCAATCATTACACAACAGCTGCAGATGGGATCCCAATATATCTGTTTCCAATCCCAGTATTCAAGACCCTAGAGACAGTTGGCTTGTAATGAACAAGCCAAAGTAAATTTTTCACATGTCCAAGCAGAAAATCTATTTTGTTAGGGAAAGGTAAGAGTTAAAATAAGCATGGTCAGATTTACTGGAAAAGAAAGCAACTCTTGAAAGAATCAAAATATCTAAGGACAAAATTCCTGCCTTCTAGCTGCCCAACTTCTTTCCCTTGACAACCAACAGATAAGAACTAAAATCAGGTAACTAGTTGAGGTGCATTTTAAATTTCATATATCTTATAGGATATACATTTTAAAATGTGTTCCAAGAGCCCTTCAGAATGTGATTACTGTAATTCTTCATCATATTATAGGAAGGAAATCTTAGTCATTGAAAGAAGTCCACTCCAGGGCATCTACCAACTATCCAGCTAATATAAATAGCCATTGCTGTATTAGTAATGACAGCCATATGTCAACAATTCTTCTCATTAAAGACCAAAAGCCATTTCTACTTCCATTAGGCATTCTTTCTTGATTTGTTTTTTGAGGCTTTTGTCTTTTCCTAGGTGAGTTCAGTCTTGAAGGAGCTGTTCATTAAGTAACTCTGTCCTCACAGAAATAAATAATGGACACATGACCCAAACTAAGTTAAGTGAACTCCTCCCAAGAACTTCGAATCTTGCTTGGAGAAATTCAATAGCAACAATACCCTAGTCAGATTCTCATATTTTCTAGACTACTAGCAAATACTGTTTTCTGTCTTCCTTGAACCTCAATTGCCAACATTTCCTTTGAGTCTCTAAGCTACTCAGCATCTATCCTCCCAGGTCATTGGTCATTTTCTGCTTAAAATATTTTATTACCTTGAGTACTGCATATTCTATTATTTATGTATCTTTATTGTTAAAAGCATTACAGACTTCCCTATTGTGGTTCCCCCCCCCCCCCCCCCCCCAGTGACTCCCTCCATCCTGCCCCTGCCCCTGCCAGGCCTTCACCACACTATTGTCTGTGTCAGCAAACTCATTAGCCAACAGAGCCAAATATCAGCAGTACAACGATTGAAATTTCTTTTGAGAGCCAAATGTTTTAAACTTAAACTTCTTCTAATGCCACGTCTTCAAAATAGACTCGCCCAGGCCATGGTATTTTGTGGAAGAGCCACACTGAAGGGGCCAAAGAGCCGCATGTGGCTCGCGAGCTGCAGTTTGCCGACCACGGGATGCATGTACGTGTATAAGTTCCTCAGTTAATCTCTCTCTACATGCTCTGCTTAAATGTATACAGAGCCAATTTCTGTAGTGTGCAAGAATTTTTTTTTTCTAAGGGGTAATCTCTTTTTATAAGTGAGAAAATTGATGTGTAGGGTGGTTAAGGAAATTGTCTAAGGTCAAACTGTTGGTAAAATGCAGAGCTGGGATCTTAACTCAGGTCCCTCTGATCTAATAAAGCCAGTCTTCTAGATAAAATGGATTTGTAACTGAAAAGCAAATTGTATTCTATTCAAGGTAGAATATGTTTTAGCTATTTTTAGAAGTCTGGGAGGCTACAAGCATTGGTCTGGTAATTCATATTGTGAGAGGAAGGCTTTACTATGAATGGATAAAGGTGGCCTCATGGCCCAGTTTCTTCCATGGTTGAGACAGAGTATAGCTAATCAGGCTGTATAATAATGAGTCAGACCCCATCCGGGGAACAGTATTCTGCTATGATTTGCTTAGACAAAAACCCCTAAATAATATAAGATTTTGGTGAGAGAAAATAGTGGCAGTTTAAAAGTATTTTGTGGTAAGCAGTTTGTCAGTTCTTAGAGAAGTTAAATAAAGAATCACCATAGATTTTCCAGCAATTCTACCCTAGTACTAGTATGCACCCAAATGAATTAAAAACAGAGTCTCAAACAGATACTTGTACAGTCATGTTCATAGACACACCATTCACAAAAGCCAAAAGGTAAAAGCCACCCAAATAATATACATCAATGGAATAACATGTAAACAAGAAGTGATATATATATATATATATATATATATATATATATATATATATATATATATATATAATAAACACTACTCAGGCACAAAAAGAATGCAGTACTGATATATGCTACAATGTGGATACACTTTCGGAGCATCACGTGAAGTGAAAGACCTCAGACACAAAAGGCCATATATCATATGATTCTATTTGTATAAAATATCTAGATAAATCTATAGAGACTAAAGCAGATTGGTAGTTTCTAGGGGCCGAGGGAAGGGGAGAATATAGAGTGATTGTTTAATGAAGATAGGGATCTATTTTGAGGTGAGGAAATGTTTTGGAACTAGGTAGAGGTGGTGGTTACTAAGTGCCATGGAATTATACAGTTTAAAATTATTGGTTTTATTTTATGTGAATTTTACCTTGATTCTAAGGCATACCTCCTATGTGCTAGGTACAGTTCTAAATACTTTATATATAATATGCATTTACTTACCAAAATGACCAGTCAGTGGTAATAGACAAGAGTCATCTTAGCATCATCTTGCTGAGAAGCAAGATGAAATAAACTTAGAATAAAATATTAGATGAGGGATATATATTGGAATAAGATACATTATTTTCTATAAAAGAATTGCTATAAATGTAGTTGCACACCTCAATGGTGCTTCATCCTATAAATATATTTTATAAGGTTCATTTCTATTTGTCTCTTCACCAAAGTTAAATTTATTTTTGTTTCCAGGCCCCAGTTGTCATGTTATTTGTTACATTTATTTGTTTGTTATGCCTATCTCTTCAGTACAAATAACCAGGATTGCCAAGGCAAAATAAACATTTTTCAGCCAAAAGTACCTCAGGCACACACCAGTGCACAATTTATAACCATGACTAAAATTATTCTTATAAAAGCAAAAACAAAAGATATTAACATAACCCTAAATCATAGCCAGTTGTGCTAATTTATCACAAATTAACCTTGCACCTTGCATATGTCAAATACAAATGAATTATTTCTATTTATTAAAAAATAACAGCATTTGAGTTATCATACCAGATATACACTAAACACTGAAATGCAACAGCAACCAACAGAGACAAACACTTTTGTCTCATATAGCTAGAAAAATAACATAGCAATTAATAGTTAATATTTATATGGAACTTAACATGTTTAAGTTGGGGAAACAACTATAGGAATAGTGTGTTTGTGGATAAAGATGGGATGTTCTATTTTGGGCATAATAAGTCTGAGGACCAAAAGATATATAAGCTTAGAAGTTGAATAAACACTATTAGGGAGGGGAAGGAGAACTATGGCAATAGCAGAGTAGGGTATTAAAAAAAAATGAGGCCAGAGAAAGAAAAAAAGGAGAGAGAGATGGATCAAGTAGGAGCTTATGAGTCATAATACAAATTTACTAGTTACTTTTTTTTTTTTTAATCTGAGAACCCATTAGTGTGTTTTGAGGAGGGAAATGATCAGAGTTAGATTCTATAAGACCAGTTGATCTAATGTGTTCGTTTTTTTGTTTGTTTGTTTGTTGTTATTTTTTTAAAGATACTGAATCCTAGCTGGTTTAGCTCAGTGGATAGAGACTCAAACTGAAGGGTCCTAGGTTTGATTTCTGTCAAGGGCACCTATCTTGGTGGCAGGCTCGATCCCTGGTTGGGGTGCAACCAATTGATATGTCGATATGTGTCTCTCACATCAATATTTCTCTCTCTGTGTCTCTCCCCCTTCCTTACATTCTCTTGAATGAGGGTTAACAAAATAAAACAAACAAAAAAATACCCTGGGAGACTGAATAAGAGTATGGGAACTTGTGACTTCTGTTAAAAATGCTAATGGATATTGACTGGAGTTTGAATAGTGACATTAAATATAGGTCTAGGTTTGAGGAGAAAGGTCTATCCTGGAGTACTAATTTGGGAATCATCAACATATACAGGATAACCTATGAGACAGGATGATATTTCTCAGTGAATAAGTGTAGGTTGAAAAGTGTGGAGGTCCAAATACTGAGCCCCGAAATCTTAAAACATTGAGAGGTTAAAGACATAAAGAGGGATTGATGAGGAAAGGCCAAATGAATACCAAGAAAGCAAGGCAAGTGTGACATCCCAGAAGGCAAGTGAAGCAAAACACTCCAGTCTCTATTAGTGGTTTTCTTGAAGCCCTCAGTGGGCTTGAGGTGGAGTAGGAGGTTAGGGGCATAGGAAGTGAGGTGGTAGGTGAGGGAAAAGGGCAGCTCCTTCCTCTTCCCAGGAATGGGAGGGACCCTATCTCAGCCCTTCCTAAAAAGGCAGATGGTTCTTTGCTCCTCTATACCCCAAATCCTAGACAAACGATGCAGGGCATTCCTCTCTCTCATGTCCTACAAGTCCTTCAGAATCTCTCTTAAGAATGTGAAATCATGTCCCCTACGGGTTTGGGGTATCAGATAATAGTCACATTCAAATAGAACCTCTCAATTGCAATCCAGAAAATTCATTTTGTGCTCCTTTAACAAATGTTTATTGAGAGCTCACTGTTCTTGGCACAGAACGTGTCTAGGAGGATAGTCTTCGCTCTCCCCTAGGTACCTGTAGGGAATAGAGGCTGGGTTTTTACTTTCACTTTTCTCTCACACAAACCATACCATGGGAGTTTTTTCAGAATGGTAGAACATTTTTATTTCCTTTGCATGCATACTTTTAATTTCTTTACCTAATATAACCATTTCTT